ACAAGTGGACAACTTGTTAGGTTGTCCACTATTACTTTTCTGCCATTCTTCTGACTCTAGTTGCCAGCCTCATTCCCCCTTCCCTGGCTTAGTAAATTCCTTGAGAGGTACTGCAACTATTGGTGTTCTCCCTTACACTTAGCAACTTACTAGGCATATGCCTTGATTCTCTTAAAAGCTAATAATGTCTCTTAATTTTATTGATTTGTGGAAAATAATTGGCTTTTTGTGGCACCAAGGGTGTGTGAAAACACTCAAAACTGTATCCCTCAGGAATTCCCTCTTACATCACTCAAGAAGAAAATTGTAATATCAAATATATGGTCATATTCCTATCTTCTCATGTGTAGTGATGTAGTACCTATTTTTGCATATGCTAGCCACATGTGTGTGATTTGTCTCCTTAACAGTGACCCCAGTGGTGATCTCTTGAGGATAGTTTTTTTTCTTATTTATTTTATTTTTTTGGTAGTGTTTCATCATTCCCCTTTATACTTCTTTTTAAGGGTTATTGCAGTTCCTAGCTCAGGAAGTTGCCATTGCTGGCTCTTAGTAATGCTCTGTTTAAGTGCTTGCACCTACCCCGCCTTTAAAAAACTACTAGCTCCTCTGTCTGGCAAAGATACTTGGTTTCAGTTAGCATTTGCTTAGCAAGCAGCCACGGTTTTACTGACAAGGAGAATCCCTGCTGTTTTGGAAGCTGTGTTGGACTTAATGCATTTATGAAGCTTTTGATTTTGGGGTGGTTTTTTTTGCACACTTAGGCACTCATGCAAAAGCTCTAACTGATTTCCCTATTTGCTGGTTAAAGTGATACTTCAGGATTTAGTTTAGAATTAACACTGGCAATAATGCAGCTCTCACTAATTTCCTTAAACCTGTCAACTTATACCAGACTCTTGCTCTGGCCTGTGCTATGTACTGAGAAGAGAATGGAAAGGGGTCTGCTGTGGTCACAAATGGTGACAAGTCCCTTAGTCTGCTGCTTCATTGTGATGACCTTGCTGACATGCAGCACCATCCAAGGACATCCTGTAAAGTTGGTCTCAGCAGCTATATTTCTGAGTAATCTGAATTTCTGAACCATTTTCCGTGCAGTACATAGCCTTGCTGATGATTCTGTAACACATCCTCATGTAAGTGCTGCACTCAAACTGTTCTGGGCTGTGGACTGGAAGGTTATCTATTCTTAAATGGGGGTATTTCTGGAGATCTAATAAGATGCCACTAGCTACTCTAAAATACAGGCATTGTTATATCTTGCATTTTGTTTACTTGTTTGCAGATCAACGTGCTTTATTCTATTGATTATTTTACATGCTTTATCAACAAAGCTGTTGATATATCCAATCTCAACATGTTAACAGTATTAGTTTCTTAAAGATTCTGCACTGATGTACTCGTGACAGAAAAGGAAAAATTAGATCAAATTTCACAGGTACCTGTCTTACACCATTCTGTATTTTTTCAAACAGTTATGATGTTATTTATCTTCTCACTTATACTCTTTACCCTTTATGACATATATATGTATATATATATCTTGTTTGTGAGCATCAAGTATGAAGACCTGTGCTATGGGTAAGATAGAGGTGGTTCACTCAAGCCAACCCTTTGTTCTTGTCCTCTGGACAGTACTCCTTTTTCAAAGCTGTTGCTCCAGGATTTTGATGACAACATGCTTTAGTTCGTAATATTTTTATATATGTGTTTGTCTGGTTGGGTGTCCTGAGCTATGCTGGCAGAGTCTTTTCTAAACAAATATTCTTTACATTATTTTTTTCTTGAACTTTTAATTTAGTTGTATGGCCATTATTTTGTAGGCTAAAATGATATATTTGGTATCTGATCCTAGAAATTTTTGTGGAGTTCCCCCATTTGTTAGTGTGCTTGTCCACTTCCTTGGCTTAGATTTTCTTCAGGTTTTGAGCTAAATAAGTGTAAACACTTGATGATGCATCTTTTGTGAGGATTGTAGTTAGAACTCTTGCATTATCAAGTGACCTAAAGCATAACTGTTGAAGCAAAGTAAACTTTCAAGTCTTAAGTAGTTGAAATAATAGTTAAACTAGTTAAAATGTGCATTGTCTTGAAGATCTAAAAGCTGTTAGAATCATAAGATACTGGCACGCTTTTACTGTCGGAAATCACTTTAGCAGAGGAGCTGGAGGAATGGAAACAATGTGTGTTTGGTCTAAAAGCATTAGGAAAAAATAAACAGCAGGACTGTTGAGAAACCCTGGCTGAATACCCAGAAGTAAAATCTGCCGGGGTGTTGTTGAAGCTGCCTTTGAGGACAGCAGCCTCTCATATAGGTAAGATGAGATTTTTTTTTTTGTTGCATGAAATAACAGTTGGACTTCATGATCTTGAGGGTCACTTCCAAACAGAATGATTCTATGATTTCATGTATCTATTTCAGTGATATCCAATAAGCAATGAAGAAATAGAACAAGTGTGTTGTATTGTGTTTCTTTTCTTGCTGTTGGTGACACTAGCCTGAATACGTTAATGGAAGCCAACTGTAAAATTGAGACCTAATAACTGTAAAATCTTCCAGTGTGATGGCCATAAGCTGTTAATCCAGTGACCATGTGTAATGTTTCTTTTCTTTTAAATTGGCAGTTCCTAGTTCCAGACTTGATGTAATGTATTTCTTTTCCTTCTGCATTCTGACTTGCAAGTGGTTTGTTTGAAGTCAGAATGCTGTTTAAAGCTCTGACTCTATGCATTTTAATATAAACATCTTTCAACTAGCTATGGGTATTTAATAACCATTTAACCATGTAACATAACCAAATGGTAAGAATGAAGAATATAAATAACTGTATAACAACTAAAATATATCTGTAAATACTTTATGGTCATACTTTTAGGGAATAACGTACGAGTGCAAATAAAAAGCAAGTGATTTAAAATTGTTTGTCATTACTGAATCTGATGGGTTTTCCACTGTCTGATTGAGAAGATTCCCTTTTTCAAACATAGAAGCAAACATCATTTTGATTGCTGTTGATCCTAGGAGTCTAACGTTTGGACTGAAGCCCCTTGTGCTGGTCAGTATAAGACAGGATAATGGGTTTGTTTAGTTGTTTTTCTGTCTGCAATAGTTTGAAGTTGTAAGATGTAAGGTGCAAGCCCACACAGGTTAATGAGGAGCTGATAAAGCAACATCACTCAGGAGGAGAGCTAGTGGCCTTAACATAGGCTGAGACAGTCAGCTTTTTCTTGTATGTGTTTGTGTTTAATCTCATACACAGTTAATCAATTTGACTTTTGAGACAGCATCACAACACTATTACTAATGTGTCCTTAGATGGAAGATGTTTTGTCTAGTGCTAGTTACCAGGCCTGGCACCACAGCAAGCTGCACTGGCATTACTTTGGGACAAATGCTTTCCAAAGGAGGTATTTGTGACAGTGACCTAACTTTGTACCTGTAAGTGGTTGCCAGTAAGTGAGCTGTGTGTGAGTCTGACCGTTGGTCATCTGAACAAGGTCTTTCACAGCTTGGGGCCTCTTGAGTGTCATGGTAGTTTGGTTTGGCTTGTACTCTGGAGGTGCAGGGAATTGGAATGGCACCCTTCGTGAGCAGGAAGGCCACGGACTGCTCCAGCACAGCTTCCTGAGCTTGGCATGGGAACTAGGTAGATGATATCAGGGATTTCTTCCGCAGCCTCGTGCCTTTGGATGAAACAGAGCTGTTCTGTACTTAGCTGCTCTGCAAAAGGGAACCACAGTGACTCCAGAGGAACCAATGTCACCTCAGCATTTGGTCTGTATTTTTAATGGCACAGTTCTTTAATTCTGAATGTTGCTTAGTATGAATAACTTAGCTCTGTTCTTCTGAGCAAGTAGGAAACTGAATTTGCAAGTTGTCTTTAGCTTGTGATGAGTACTGAAGAGTGTGTGTGCATACCCACACAGTGTGCTCACCTCTCCATTGCCCAGACATGCTCATGGGATCAGCAAGTGGGGAAAATGCCTTATTAAGCTGATCTCTTTTCAGCTTTTGACAGTGATACAGTTTCAGTAGGAATGGTCAATTTGACTATTTCCTCCAATGTCTTTAAGATTTCTCAAGTGGGAAGTGACTCTGGCTTAGAATCTCACTGTAATAAGAATGACCAATTTGTGTTAAAAAAACTAGTAGCTTAAAAAAAAAAAAATGTTCTCTTTCAGATGAGGGATTCCTTGTTTTGTCTTTAGAGCATGTTTGAAATTAATAATGACTTTGGGCATTATATTTTCTTATGAGTATTGAAGGAAAAAAATACTGAGCTGCTTTTTTCATGGTTGGCATAGAGGAATTATCTCTTCATCTTGGAAGGGCATCTTTGGCTTGGTCTTGGCATGGGCAGGATCTTGTAGGGTTGTTAAAGCCCATCATTGGAGAGGAGTTTGTTTTTCTGAGGTTTCCAAAATGATGATTTGGCAAAAATGAACCCCTGATACATCTGGTATGGATAACAAGTCTCCTGAGGCAAGATAGCTTGCTAATCAGTGTTGACATATATGAGAAAAGTCATTACCATCTGTTGAACTTTAAAGCAATTTAACTCTTGTGTTACATTTCAGTAAGCTCAAATGTCAGTGAACAAGGTGCATGTATCTTGGGAGGGAAACTTCACTTCTTTGTGGACTATGTTATCAAGATTAGACTGGTAGTCCACAGCAAGTCAGTGCCTTGATTGGACTTCAGTGGATGATGTTGAAGAGGTTTGATATAAATTCTTACAGAGAGTAAATTATTTTATGTTTTTACGTTTTATTTTAGTATTTTATGTTTTGATAATAGGTGTTTTTCATTATGTCTCTCCTGTGCATGAATCATAGAACAATGTGAGCATACGAACAGTATCTTAGAACATATGAACAATAACTTCAGTCTGAAAAAAAATCTGCTACTGTATTTTTTTTCTTTGGTAATATTATTTATAAAGCTTTGAAAATGTATGTTTTCTGGAAGCCAATAACTTTTTAAAATATTATTGCAGTACCTGCCCCGGTCATCACTGCCACAGCTGCTAAAATGGAGGTGGTTTCAGCAGAAGTCAACAGCTTGCTCCCTGAGGAAATAATGGACACGGGTATAACTCTGGTGGAAGATGACAGCATCGAGGCAGTTATTGTGTCATCACCAATGGAAGATTCTATTCCCATGGAAACAGAGCTGGAAGAAATGGTGAACATAAGGTCCACGAGTGACTCCTCAGTTACAACTACAGCCACAGTCACCACAGAGTCAGTTACTGCACCCAGCAATCACTCAGACGATGCGACAGTGAACACCACAACCCCAAAACCTGACGTGAATGCGGTAGCGAAGTCCGCCTTTCCCAGCGGCCTCCATAAACTCGGTGCTCAGACCCCCGTCACTATATCAGCCAATCAAATTATTCTGAACAAGACCGCTGATATCAAGATAGGCAACCAGAGTATTAAACCGGATGGGCAAAAGCTGATTTTAACAACTTTGGGCAAGTCTGGCCAACCTATTGTCTTGGCATTACCCCACAGCCAGATCCCGCAGGCGCAGAAGGCCGCGTCCCAGGCCCAGAGCGCAGAGTCCAAGGTACAAGGCCAGCAGATCAAAGTTGTCATTGGAGGTCGGTCAGAAGTGAAGCCTGTTGGCGTCTCAGCCTTGGCCCAAGGAAACCAGCTGGTGAGCGCTGCGGCCCAGCCCTCTGTCCTGCAGACCCAGCAGCTGAAAACCGTGCAGGTAAAGGGGGTCACGCCGTCCCTTCCCGCCGCCGCGCGGGTGCGTTCGGCCTGGGCCGTGCTCCTCGTCCCAGGGAACGCCACGGCCCGTCACAGCTCACGCTGCCACCTGTGGGTGCACTTAGCATTTCATGCCCTTTATCTCTAGCTGTTGTCTAGAAACTTAGAACTTGCCTCAGAGAAAGTGACCTCTTAAAACTCAGTACATTAAAGATCATTTTCCTATTATTTTCGTTTTATAAAAATAAATTGTACATGCTTTTAGGAAGACTAAATTCAACTCTATTGAGAGAACTCTTGTTATTTATTCAAACTATATGCTGCTTTACTCCTTTATGAAAGAGTAGCTTCTGCCTGTTACACCTTATATATTTAAATAAAGTCTCTGGGGGAAAAAAAAATCCAGTATTTGAAAAAGGACAGAAAAGTATATCTTACCTACCTCAAATCTAGTTAAACTTGCAAATAGATACCAATAGACTAGACACTCTCATAAGCTGGACACTTCAAGGGCTTGTTCCTGATCTCTGGCATGGATCTTGAGATCTTTGAAACCACAGAGAATCTCCTGGGATCTGAAAACATTTTGGTAAGACTTGGGTTATGACCCAGAGCGTCTTATTTTCATCTAGTATATGGCAGAACTAAATGTGAGTGACTTTGCTCTATTTGGCAGTGAGGCAGAAATAAGACCTCAAAAAAGTGAAGAAAAAGTAGAACTCAATGCATGTTATGATGGAAAAACATTTATTTTACAGTCTAAATTAAATGAGATATTCAACACTTCAGTATACTAATAAAAACTGATTTGCTGCACATGAAAAATGACAAACTTTTAAGCGTATTATTAAAGTGTGTTATTCATCAAGGACTATTTCATGGCAAGCAAACGTAAGCAAGTCTCAAGATGGTTTGTTTTAAAGCTGCAGGTGATACTTGCACTTGTTCCTGCTTTCTCATTTTTTGTTGCTATTTCATACCCATGGAAAACATTTTTAATAATGACTGCTTAAAACACCCCAATTTTCTTAAGTGGCTTTTGGTTTTGTACCTTGATCACTAATTGTATATTTGTTATTGTAGCTTTCAAAAAAGCTGCTCTTGACTCAACATGGGAACATTTAAGAGTGGACCAGTTCCTGTTACTTGGCTTCACTTACTACCAAGTGACAGAGGAAACTGAGGAGAGTGACTTAGCTGTGATGTGCTTTTGCTTGTATGAGGTGACCTATGCCATCAGTGGCTGAATTACAGTGACTTGGTGATTGACATCAGCTAGTTGTCAATGGCAGTTCTACAGGTTCCTTAATAGAAGCTGTTATAAATGGCTTTTCATCCATTTGTAAATCTAGTTACTTGTAGTTTGAGTAAATTTGGTTTGTTGTGGTATCTTTATCTCGAACCTTTGCTTCCATTTGCAAAACAGATTGATTTGTTAACACCGGTGTTATCACAGAATTATATCATAGAATGGTTTGTGTTCAAAGGGTCCTCTTTTTCCAACCTCCCTGCTATAGGCAAGAACACCTTCTACTTGACCAAGTTATGCAAAGTCCCATCTGACCTCAAGCCTCACAATAAATTTCTTCCTAATATCTAACCTAAATCTACCCTCTTCCAGTTTGAAACTTACCCCATATTCTATCACTACAGTCCTGATAAGGAGTCCCTCCCCATCTTTCTCACAGGTCCCCTTTAGGTGCTGGAAGGCCTTCTCTTCTCCAGGCTGAACAACCCCAGCTCTCTCAGGCTGTCCTCACAGGGGAGGTGCCCCAGCACCCTGATCCTCCTCCTGGCCCTCTGGACCTCCTTGAACAGCTCCATAGGAGCCCCAGAGCAGAACACAGTATTCCAGATGGGGTCTCATGAGCGCAGAGTAGAAGGGCAGGATCACCTGCTTCAACCTGCTGGCCATACTTCTTTTGATGCAGCCTAGGATGGGAATTTTTTTTCTGGGCTGCAAGCACACATTGCTGGTTCATATTTGGTTTTTCATCCACTGGTTATCCCTAAGTCGTTCTCCAAAGGGCTGCTCTCAATCCACTTATCACCCAGCCTCTATTTGTGCTTGGGTTTGCCCTCACCCATGTGCAGGGCTGTGCACTTGGCCTTGTTGACTTTCATGAGGTTTGCACAGGCCCACCTCTCAAGCCTGTCACTGTCTCTGGATGGCCTCCCTTCCCTCCAGTGTGTCAGCTGCACCACACAGCTTGGTCCTGTCAGCAAACTTGCTGAGGGTGTGCTCAATCCCACTGTCCCTGTTGCTCTTCTGCTGACCGCTTGCCCGACTAAGAAGGGTAGTGTCATCAGCAGGCAAAGCAGCAGCCAAGGCCCTCAGCCCGCCCCCCACTCTTCAGTCACAGACCAGCGCCCCAAGGCGCCGGAACCCTGGGGTGAGGAGCTCAGTCCAGTTCACTCACAGCACAGGCTGTGCAGAAGGGAGCGAGCTGACTCCGGAACCATGCCAGGGTAGATGGAAGGACCCAGGTGACTGGTCTTGCCTCTCTGTCCTGGGAGCTCCACTTGCTATGAAGAGCCAGGGAAGCCCTTTCAGTAGCCAGAACCCCACACAGCACATGCACTGTGTGGGCAGGCCACCCAAGTGCACTGCAGGCAGAGTCAGTTCTTATAGAGGTGGATTCTTGCCCTGCCTCCAAGTTAATGTGGAAGATGGGGCACCTGGTGGTATCTCCTAATTGGTTTGCACCCAAGGCTGGCCATACCTTGTGTGAAAAGCAATCAGGAGGGCCCTGGTTGTGGCATCATCCATATGCCAGCTCTTGCTCAGGGCTGGGAGTTTAACCCCAGCACTTCAGTTGCTGACAAAGGTTTTAAGCAGCACTGGTCCCATTACCAACCCCTGAGGAATGCCACTTGTCACTGATCTCCACTTGGACATCAAGCCATTGACTGCAACTCCTACCTTGTGTGAAAAGCAATCAGGAGGGCCCTGGTTGTGGCATCATCCATATGCCAGCTCTTGCTCAGGGCTGGGAGTTTAACCCCAGCACTTCAGTTGCTGACAAAGGTTTTAAGCAGCACTGGTCCCATTACCAACCCCTGAGGAATGCCACTTGTCACTGATCTCCACTTGGACATCAAGCCATTGACTGCAACTCCAAGTATGACCATTCAGCCAGTTCCTTTTCCACTGAGTGATCCATGTGTTTGTTTGAATCCATGTTTTTCCAGTTTGGAGACAAGAATGGGTGGGACAACGTCATATGCTTTGCACCAGACCAGGGAGATTACATTAGTTGCTCTTCTTGTATCCACCAGTGCTGTAACCCTGTCATAGAAGGGTACTAAATTTATCAGGCATGATTTGCCCATAGTGAAGCCATGTTGGCTGTCCCAAATCACCTCCTTATTTTCCATGTGCCTTAGCATAGATTCCAGGACGCTCTGCTCTATGATCTTGCTGGACACAGAGATGAGACTGGCTGGCCTGTAGTTCCCTGGATCTTCCTTTTTTTCCCTTTTTAAAAATGGGGGTTATGTTTCACTTTTTGCTGTAAGGAGAGGAGTAAGTAGAAATTAAAAGCAAGAAGGCTCTGTTCTATTGGTTCTAAGTACATGATACTGCAGGGAAGATGATTACATTAGCATTTCTCAGACAGTGCTTTTCCATGTAGGAAATTACTGAAGTCTCAGAGGGTTATGTGATGCTAGGTGAGAGATTCCTGGTCTACCCTATCATGAATGACAAGGGAGGTAACCCACACTTTGAGTCCCTGGCTTAGAAAATGAAATCCTGCATTTACCTCATCATCCTGAAGAAGCCTCAACCTTCCATTGGGTGGAAAAGGAAGCTGTGAATGCCTCCCTGCCCCCAAGGTTGTTGTGTAACACGTCTCCTGTGGCTTTGTGAATCAGGTATTTCAGATGCAAGGCAGCACATGAGTTTGACTCGGTGCTTACAAGTGAATTGTAAAAGATGACAAAGAGCTCTCTTTGGTTCTCCTTACGTCCTCACTGTTGTAGGGGTTTTGCAGGTCGTTAGAGAAACTAAGTTAGCCTTGCTGTAATCCCAGTGTGACATGATTGGACATCTCAGTACATGAGAAAAGGCATAATTGATAGACCTGAGCAAAATGTTACTTGGAATCTGGATCCACCTCTGATTATGATTTTAGAAGTATGAAGCTTTGAGGTGTAAAATGTGGCAGGACAATAGACTTCATCTGTATCCAGAGGTTTATTACTGCCCCTTGGCAGCTTGTCCTGATTTAGCTGAAACCACTACCCTTGATGTGGACAAAACTAGTGGGCAAGCACATGTATTTTCAGCCTGTGTCTCCTGCCTGGGTACAGACTTAAAAACGGTGTGCTTGCTGGTGCACTATTTCAGTCCAAGCACATTAAGCAGGAGTTTGGTCTTGCAGCTGACTCAACCAGACGTCCAGACCCATCACCACTGCTGTCACTAAGCTAGTCTAACTTGAATTTGTCTTGATGTGGTAAACTGGCTCTGCCTTTCAGCAATTAAACCTATGTGCCCATATCATTATTGCTACCGTGGCAAGACAACTGCTAAGCCATCATTGTGGCTTCTCTTCATGGAAAAATGACCTTGAGCACTCCCTAACCTCAGACCAAACTTCCACTCCCAGCTCAGCTTTTTCATCTTCTCTAAAGTACACTGTTCTCTTCCATTTCTCAAGTGCCTGATTTTTCATATTATGCCAAACATAAATTACATTGGGTGTGGCTACATGGACAGGCTCCCATGAGGTCATCTAGGGAATGGATTTATAGTTTGTTAGCTCTTTTGTAGTAGCTGACTATATGGTTCTTTAATGCAGCAGTAAATGAGTGTGCCTTTTTCTGTATGAATGCAACACAGTTTGACAGCTGAAAACAAAGAAATAGACTATTTCTTTGAAATATTTGAAAGAAATAGAATAGCCACAGAAACTTGCTATTTCATCTTGTATAGTGGAGAGTGCTTAGGAAGACACAAATTGACCATTTAAATAAAGATGCTTGCAGGTAAATCTCTTATGTAGAGGGAAGAAGGTTAGTGTGTGCTTCTAAATATAATAATTTTCTTATGGAAGAGCTTGTTGTCCCAGGAAGTATTTTTGCAGTCTGATCCAGAATAACTTGCAGAGAGGATGCTCAGCTTACGTGGGCAGAGGAATAATCTTCAGCTTTCTGTGATAAATACAGGCAGTGGCAGAGGGCTCCAGAGAACTTGCTCTTTCTGAAGCATCCAAGGGGCAGTCTGTCATCTTGATTATTTCCTCTGGCTTCTCTGCTGAAATGGGTAGTGAGTTGCCCACTGGTGCCTCGAAGGCCCTCACGGGTGGCTGGGGTTATCAGCTCCAGGGGCAAAAACCTCAGAGCGGCTCACTTGGCAGCAAGTAGGGGCAGGAGCGTACTTGAGGATCAAGGGCTGTTCCTCACCTATAACCAGTCATGTTTGAGTTTTGCCATCTTTCCTAAGCCCTAAGGGGACTCACTTGTTTGTTAGACATTCTTTGTAAACAAACAGCTCACCCAAAATGCAGGGGGCAATTTATCTGAGGAGGGTATTGCTAGTTGAGTCTGGGAACTAGGGCTACTTGTGTTGACCAGCTATTGTTTTGGGATGTTTACATTTTTTCTAAAGTACCTCATGTTAACGAGTCGCTGGTATTCATCTAAGTTATTCAGGCACATTTATTGGCTGTTACTGGGAAAGGACTGCTGTTGTCCAGAGCTGGCTGCTCCTGCTGGATGTTGATCAAGTTCTGAGCCAGGCTTCATCCCTTTAGAGAGTAAAAGCAGTTAACAGCTGAGTTACAGTAGTACCTTACAGCAGGGTAAGATTAATTTTAGCAGAATGGAAATCACAAATCAGGCAGATGAAATGTGGGGAACTTACCAAAAATTAAAATGTGTGCAAATTTACAGAAAAGTTACTGATAAAATGCATGCTCATCTGTCAACTGTGTATGTGCTAAGAGAGCTGAATCCTTGAAACGTTAAGGCAGCTGTGAGTTAGGAGGGCTTCAGTATCATAGCAGAGGGGAGCTCTGGCTTCCCCAGCCATGCCATGACTGTGCTGTTGGGAGCTACAGCCTCATGCATGCCTTTTGCAGGGCACCTGGGGAATTTGTTTTGTCCTACTGAATACTTCAAATGTTTTGTTCTACTGTAAAGGAGGTGTTTTCAGTCAGCAAATTATATAAATATGGTTTTGTGTAGGAAAACATAACATCCAGCCTACTCAATTGCTTTGTTTAAGTATTCACAACTTCCTCAGGTTGTTAAAAGGAGCTGTCATCTCTGTGTCTTTGCGTGTCAGTGAGATTCCTGCAGTCAGCTACTTGAGGAATAAAAGCAGTTCTGTGCCTTTGAGAGGTGGCTCCCCACCGGAATGCCAGTGTGGTGCCTCCGATACTGCTGGAGTCGGCAGGTGCTGCCCATGGGGTGCAACTGGGATTGTGTGGGGAGGAGAGGCAGTATGGGCCTGGCCTGTGGGGTGGATAGATGTAAGGGGTTGAGTAATTCCTTCCAGCGTGCTCACTTGAACTCAGGAAAGATCCTAGCAATGGTCTGGAACTGCAGGCAGCCTCTGCACTCAACGGTTTAGAATAGTATTTGGAAGGTGTCAATCTCTTAATCAAACTATTCACCAGCTGGATGCCAGTATATAGAAACTATTAGGATAAAGCATCTGGTAGTTAACTTCTGTCAGTGTGGAAAAGGGGAAGAAGTTTTGTTTAAGACTGTAAATCCCTGCTTATAAAGGTTTCAAGTTGAAGTGATCTGTCTCATTGAATTTCACATACATGTTACTGGTCCAGCTATGTTTCAGGAGACTGGATCACCCTTGTGTCTGGATGTAGCCAACTGATTTGTTCTTGGCTAGTGAGCACCCAAAACTTTCAGGCTCTGGTGATCCACCACACTTTTCAGGAACTGTTACAGAAGGCTGTTTCTGCATTTTCAGGATGAAAGTATGCTACTGTCAGAATAGGTCGAGAGATGTTTCAGGGCAGTATCTGTCATAGTTAAATCACTCGAGGAACAAGTGTTGTCCTTGTTGGCTGGAAAAAAAACCTCTCTTTTTAAAAGCTTCAAATACTGAGAGTTGTACATTTAATTATAACATTTTTATATAGACCAATGGCATGTAAGAAGTAATTACAGTGCTTTGAATATGAAGTATGTTTGCATAGAGAGATAGCTTACAAAAAAGCTGTTATGGATTTGCCTATCCTGCTTTGCTGGCTAGTTTTCTGAAGTGGCATGGATGATATCCTAGTTCTCTCCATAGTGAGAAACTGAGGTGAAATGCGAGATAAGCAATTATCTTTCTAGTTACATGTGCAAGTATTGCCCTTTTTATTTTCTAATGTACTTAACAATACAGTAATATAGATTAAAAATGCTCATTACTTTAGATCATCTTTCCTCCATCTTTCAGATTGCGAAGAAGACCCGAACCCCAACTTCTGGCCCAGTGATCACCAAGCTGATCTTTGCAAAACCAATCAATAGCAAAGCTGTCACAGGGCAGACCACTCAAGTGTCACCAGTCATTGCAGGTTGTACTACTTTGATTTGGTTTGCTTTACCATTTTTTAAAGGCTGTTCAAAGAGATTGTGATTGCAGAAATTTTCTTCTGTGCTGATGATTTTACTGTAGTTTCTGTTGAAGTACCTCAAGCAAGCGAAAAAAAAAAAAATCAGATAATATTGTTGGTAGAAGAGATAAATGGGGTTGTTGGTACCTTTACACTTCACTCATTTAGAATTATCTTTGTAATTAAGGAGTTTGATCATTTTGGTTTTACAGTAAGATGATCTTCTTCCTGGATTTTGGGGAGAAGAAAAAATACCTCACAGACAGAGGAAATGCTATTTGATAAACAGAAAGCATTTGTAGATACATAGTATAAATACACAGGGGGGAAAGGAGACATGCTATTGTATTAACTTGAATGTGCTTATGGTAGGACTTAAATGTAACACATGCAGGAAAAATGAGTTCAAAAAGTGACTAAAGCGATGTTTTTGTAGAGTTGCTTACCTGCTTCAGAAACAAGCATCATAGCAGAGTCTAAGTAATTACAGCAAATAAGAAATGGTTTGTCTCTTGGAAAACCAATCTGTTTGTGTCCTTTAAAAAAAATAAGGAAGAAAACCCACAGTGTATTCATTTGTTTATTATGATAGTGGGACTGATGTGTCCCTTGCTAAATACACCATTGCATGTATGCAAGTAACATCTGACACGTGTAAATTATCTCAAAAGGACAAATATAGGAAGCCAGAGTCTTCTTCAGAGCTTTGAAGGATGTCTTCAGCTGCTTCCAGATTGACCAACCCAAGTAGGCCTGAAATCTTTTCCACATATTTAAACAAATTTGTGAAGTCTTTACAAACCTGAGACTTGAGATGGTTTTAAAAAGAATGCAGCTGTATTCAGACCTTTGATAGATACAAGTGAATGGCACAGCACTGGAACATATTCTTTTCCTTGAGTTGTCAGACTGCTTGCACCCTGAAGCCTGGCTTGAGTTTCAGGCGAAAGAGGGATTCCCCATCTCACTCCCTAGTTTTTCTCCTTTCAAACAATTCCCAACCAAAAGTACAGACCTGTAAATAAGAAGATTTCTTTACTGTATTTATAAATATTGAAATGAAGCTGCTTGTGTGCTTAAAAACAAACGAACAAAGAGAAAAAACAAACAAAGCCCAAACAAACAAAAGCCTGACCCAAAAACATTAAAAACCCCAAGCCACTTCAAGCTGCATTACATTTTCATCTGGCAATACATGAACACTGGTAAACAATAAGGAACCACAACAAAAATAATACGAAGAGCATGTTTTTAAGTTTGCTGCCTCAGGAATGAAGGGAAATGTCCAAACCAAAACATACTTACATAATATTGACAAGCAGATAAGTTACAAAGTAAACAAACTTCCAGCTTTTAACTCAATATGTCAGAAAATTAAGAGTACCCATCCCTGAGCCTGTGAAAGTAGCATCACTGGGAAGAGAAGATGCTTCTCTTATTGAGAGGGAGATCTAACATCTGTCTTTCCTCACACCATCCCAAACAGCCAGCACAGCGTGCCAGCTTTGAGAGGTTGGCATCATTTTGGGGAAGGCGCAACGTTTGTATGTTGTGTTTTGATTAGGTATGCATGTTTTTGCAACTCTGATAAATATTTTTAAGTGCCTGAGAATTTCTGCAACCTGAGGTAGAAGCTGTAAATTTGAAAGACTTGTCAATATAAGCTGCCAGATTCTGTTTAGGAAGCAGGTGCCAAAGGGTGCAGAGGGGATATAGTGAGAAAGGGAAAGCTGCCACCAGGATAAAACAATCTCAAAAGCATTGAATACTGGACGTGGTAAAATTCCCACAGACTCAGGCATTTTCAGGTTGCACAGGGCTTTAGCAGCAGCTGGCAGCTGTTGGCAGCATTACTTAGGCTGCACAGAGTGAAGGTTATTTTAGAGCACATAGACCTAAGAGGAAGGCAGCTTTCCACGAGGATGGTGCTTTTTCTTGTTCATTCCACTTGACTTAATTGTCATGCCACTGGTTGGTTTTGGATGGCAGTTACACTGGCGTTTGCTTGCGTGTCCCTTAGTTTGATAGATGTAGTACAAGAGAATGGATGGCAGAGAGCTGTGCCAGAGGCGAGTCCAAGTGAAAACGCAGCAGAGGAAAGCTCAGTAGTCAGGTACTTGTTGGAAAGAAACTCAGAAGTATATAAAAAAGAAAATAATCTGTTTTCCACTCTGGGAATTTTGCAGTATTCCTGAAACTGATTTCATGATCTGGAGCTGTTGGTTTTGATGTTTAACCTTTTATTCCATTGTAAAAAGCAGATAGTTTGTAGAGTTACACCACCACCCGTATTTTCACAAGAGTGTCGTCGTATATTTAGTTAGGCAGTGAAAAAAACCAACCACCAACATGGAGAAGAAAACAAACCTTAGAGTTGAGCATAGACCTACCAAACATCTTTTTCTTGGTCGCTGTAACACAGCTCATTTCTAATGGCTGAGGTTTTAAAAGGAAGTGGCCCCCACTCAAATGCTCATTTTCCCTGCACATTGGCAGCAGCCCGGGGCCGTCCTAGGAGGCTGCCAGATGGCTAGAGGTGTGCAGCACAGGTGTATCAGAGGACTGCATGCCTCAGGATGCTCTCCTGGCTTTAAAGAATTTTCACCTGAATGTCACGGAAAGCTCAATGGATATTTTTGGCTTTTTAAGTCCAAGTAAACTTTATTTGCAATAATACCAGTTATTTTCTTCTTTGTTGCTAAATCTAACTTAAAGAATGCCAGTGTCCTTCCTACCAGGTAGTACACTCTCAGAAGTAGCAATCAATTGCATGATAAGCAGAGAAAAATTTGCTTTAAAAGTTCATGTGATAAGGGATAACAAGAGCTGATGGTCTCTCCATTGTTTACAGGTAGGGTTCTTACTCAGTCTGCCCCAGGAACACCACCAAAGACAATAACCATCTCCGAGAGCGGAGTCATCGGGTCGTCGCTGACGACCACAGCGCAGCAGACGCCGAATAAGATCGCGATCTCACCACTCAAGTCCCCTAGTAAGGTAAGGACCTGGTTCTCTCTGCAGCTTCCTGTCCCTCCTGCACAGTGGTCTGAATGGAGCTCTCTGTGTCTTTGCTACAAGCTGTTTGTTTATTGTCCCGCCACTCCTTAGACTCCTTTACTCATCGTGATGCTCTGTGGTAATCACCTAAGCAAGATTTCTTGAATTTGGCTTCCTTACTGTGGTTTTAAGTGAAAACGCATTGCTGCATTAGTTTCCTATTCCTGCCATTTTTTGCCATTCCCTAGGCATCCATTCCAAGAGCAGCCATTCTCTCTTAGCCAAGTGCTCAAACAGTATTTTTTTTGATGGCAGTCTAAGAGAAGACCTCAGTGATATTAATAGGTCAGCACTTATTAACAGTTATGTGCTACCACATAGATAATTTAGTCTTCCCTAATCATATGTGAAGTAAATGAGTTTTGCCACTGTCCTTGCCAAATACAGAGCTGGAGACAGGCACAGGTGGGCAACAGATAGAAAAGGTAACTCATCCATCGTACGCCGTGTTACAGATGGGTGTCACAGTGACGTTTGCATTTTAGACTTGATAAAATTGTCTTGAGAAGGAATATTGCTAGGGAAAGGAAGAGTTGGAGGAAGGGCAACATGCAAGCTAAATATCATGTATAAAAACTAGCATCAGCTTCAAGAAGTTTGGTTGTGCTTTAGCTATATAATGTTATACAAACAGAGTGAAAGAGTTGTGTTTGATTGTTACTAGTGAGGGAAGCAACAAGAGGAAGTAAAAATATCTAGCATCAAAATTAACATAGAATCATAGAATCACTGTGGTT